TATTTTAATATTATTGATATGTAAATAATTTTAATTAATTAATTAAATTAATATTTATATTTATATTTTTTAAAAAAATTAATCATAAAAAATATATTTATTGTATTATTATCCTTTCCGAGCCCAGGATATATAAAAATAAAAAAATAATAATAACAGAAAATCAAAAACTTGCCAAACACGACTTTATTAACAAATTAAGTACTGTTATAAATTCCGGCGCGTGCTCGTTACAACAAATCCTGATTCCCGAAACCTGACCAAGTAAAAACTCGCGGCGGAGCCGTCATATCCGTTTCAGAACAATCCAGAAATCCGTCATCGCACCCCAAAGAAAATTCAACGTGTCATCTAACCATTGGTGTAAGTCCGCCACTAACTAAATCTGTCACCGTTACCGTCAACCTAAAAAAGCCGTAGAATTTTGAACTTTGAACTGGCAGATACATCACTTAAAATTAAAAAAAAAAAAGAAAAAGAAAAAAAAAAATCAAAGCTCAAAGCTTTCTACTTTTTCAATGGAATAATTATCATTGAAGTCGCAAAGGTTCTTCCGTCATTCTTCTGTAATCTCTTCATCTTCTTCTTTGATCGAAGAAGGTAAGTCAGCCAATTTTTCTTTCGGATTATTTTTTTTTTCTATCTTTTCGTTGATTTTAGGGGTTGAAACGGTAGATTTTTTTGTTTGAATTTTTGTATTTGTTTTTGATGATCGAATGAATTTTTTTGTAATTTTGATTGATTTGATTTGATTTTCATTGAATTAATTGTCTGAGAAATACTCTGAATTCTTTGTATGATTTTCTCTGTTTCTTTTTTGTTAGGTTAGGTTCTGGTGATCGGAACCAATGCCTTCTGCGGGGGCGAATCAGTGGCAGGAAAAAGCTAGTGGTTTCTTTTCTTCATCAGGTTTTTTTTTTTATTGAATTTTGAATGATTTTCTTCTTTTAAAAGTTTTTTTTTTTTTTTTTTTTTTTGACTGTGGAGTTGATGCAGGGGTGAAGCTTAAGGAAGCTCGGCAGACGGCTGGGACGTTCGTGGAGGAAGTGGCGAAGGATGCGAAAGTTAACGTGTCGGATGTGACGGAACGAGTTGGTTCCATGTTCAAGAGCCGGTGGGCGGTTCTTCGTCAGCCGGCGACGAGACACGCTGTGCAGGAAAGCCTTATATCAGCTGCGGCGACAACTGGGACGCTGCTGAGGAAGGGCATCACTGGGACCAAGGACAAGGTTGCCGTTGGCAAGACAAAAGTCGGGGAGGTAAAAAAAAATTTTTTTTAATTTTTTTTATTTTGCCAAAGAGTAAATTAGATGAATGTTAGCTATTGGATTTCCCTTAGTTGTTCTTTTCTGTCTGGGTTGTCAGTATTGGGTTGTCAGTATCCTGAATAATAAGTTTAAAAAACTGATGAGTAGATTGATTTTTTCTGTCAAGCATCTTAATTGATTTAGCTTCACTATAAAGCTATGTGCAAGAATTTGTTTTCTTCATGAGGTCTTCTGATTTTAGAGCTATGAATTTTGTGTTGTTGTACTTGTATTACTTGCTTCTGTATGTAGGGTAACAACCTGGGGTTGGTCTGGCGTTTATTATCCTTTTGCTGTGGGTTTTCTGGGTCGATGGTGAAAATTATCCATTCCCAAATGTGGCCTCCCAGATCTACAAAAGGAGATGTGAAATTGTGGATTTATTGCCAGTATTATTTAGATTATAGTTGTTAGTTTGATATTTCAACTTGATGAGGTTCAGTTTGACAACTTGATTACCACGGAGAGAGATGCGTTGATTTTAGATTAGGGTCACCTATTTAATGGTGAAATTTTGATAAACAAATTTCCTTGTTAATGCTAAACCTTCATGGAAGTTGGAAATCTTCATCCATGATCTTTCTGATTCATCCCTTTGTTTTGGTTTGGCCATGCTTTTCTTCTTCATCTGTGTTCTTTCCAAACCTTTGTCCTTCCTTTTAACTCTGATGACAAAGCTATTTGCTCCTTTTCCTATATTTATTTGGCACATATATATTGTGCAATTGAACATAAGCTTTTCCATATTTGATAACATAAGTAACCGATGCATTCTAAATATTCTCTTTGCAGTTTTAATTCTCTTTTGACATTTCTTGATGTTATCTCTGACAATGTACTGTAAAGAAAGTATTAACATTGTGTTGAAACTGATCTACTCGGGCTCCATTTGCACTTAAATATATGTTTTGTATCTCTTTCAGGTGGCAAAAAAGACAGCAGAAAAAAGCAAGACTATTTTAACTGATATAGAGCGATGGCAGAAGGTATGGTATAGTGAGATGATCTCAATCTCCTTTTTCATTATTCTCTTTTTCTCCTGCTCATAATTGCAAGGTTACTAATTCTTACTATATTGACTGCATGCAGGGTGTTGCCAGCACAGATGGTAAATTTCTTGATCTCCGACCATGCATCTTTCTAAATGCAAATGGTGACTTCTTGGGAGGACGAGGAACCTTCTTCTTCCTCTCCTTTTGATATTTTGAAACTTGCTTGCTTCTAGCTTACTATAAGCAGTGACTGAATTCTGTTTCTGGTGTGCCAATATTTCCACTTTTAGAGATAAATCATGGAATTTGATATTTTCCAGTATTTATCTATCTGAAATCATTGAGTTGTCATGTAGTACATTATTGTAGGGTGCAAATATGTCTTCTGGTAGTGTATTATAATTGCATTATAATTCCTTCATGTCTTCAGTATTTGGACTTGCAATTGAAGTAACTGTGCAACGACAGCAATCCAGCAGACCTGTTCCCCATATATTGGTCAACTGTGCTGATTTTCTCATATTATCAGGTGATTCATACGAGAAATGGACAGCAAATTGATAATTATCAATATCTTACTGGAGTTGAGTATAACTTCTCTGTTTTAATTTCAGGATTGAATTCACTGGATCTGTTTAGAGCTGAAGGGGATAAAACGATCATTCAACAATTGGTTTCTACATACAACAAAGGTATCCTGCATGTTGTTTGCTTTAAAAAAAAAAAAAAATTCTGACAGTTACTCTATTCATATCAAATTCTCATTTATTTTTGGCACATATATTACAGATCCCAATGCATCATTGCCTGAGGGTTTGAATCCAATTGATGTGGCAGCTCTAGCTAAATATTACCTGGCAAGTCTTCCTGAGCCATTGACAACCTTTGACCTCTATAATGAGATCAAAGGTGCCCGTTCTAGCATACATGCAATGAGAAACATATTGAAGAAGCTTCCTACTGTAAACTACATGACACTGGAGTTCATCACTGCACTATTACTTCGTGTTAGCCAGAATTCTTTCCTTAACAAGGCAGGATGTTTTCTTTGCTCTTTGTGCCTTAATTATTTAATCTACTCACTGTATTCGTGTCTCTGCTTTATCATCTACAAATATGCATGAGTGATGAGTCACTTGTTGAAGGATTTCTCTATAGCATAGGTTTTTTATCAGCATGGTGCATATACCTGCCTTATTCTCAAAGACATCAATAATTGTGCATTTTGAAGTTGTTTCTTTTCATATGCATGGTTTAACACCCTATTTTTCTTCATATTTATCAGAATTAAATTCTGGGTTTCTTTTCATATCATCAACTGTCATCTTTTCTTTTTTGGATTGGCAATCAATTGTCATCTGGTATTATATGAAAATGCCTTCTTTTGTTCTGTTAAGGTGTCTCTGCTATGGTCATTTGCCTCTCCCTTCAGTCCCTAACCCTCAGCCTAATGACTTCTAACTTCTGCTTTGAGCTGTGAGCTAAGTATTTAATAATGGTTGTTATCTTTCTACAGATGGATGCTCGAAGCCTTTCAATGGAGATGACTCCTGTAATTATGTGGCAGAAGGATCGGAGACCAGAATCTTATAGGCAATACTGGAGTCACCCACCAAAAACTCCTAGTGATAGCATGGTTCCAAAACCTGATTATAGTACATGGGACATGCTTTCTGGTTAGTGTCCTTATCTTCTGTAGTTAGTTTGTCTCATATGTTCCGTGCATGAGCTAGTGTTTAATGATCAAAGATATTTCTCCCAACTTGTTGAACAGCCAATCTCCTTTATTTAACAGAATGCATACTTGTATTGTACTGATGGGATTCTAATAACCTTAAATGTAGTAGAATTTGTAATGATGGAACTAAGTGAAATTGTTGTGGAAGCAATTTGTGTCCTTTGAATCCCTGTTTCTCTACTTAGAAACCTCCTTTGGGTTCTCTTATAGTTCTACTACTTTAATTCCTCAGATGCCCTTGCTTTGACACCTTAGCTATGAAGAATATAAGTTATTCCTTCTTCTTAACTTAAGAAAAACTACAGTGGTGACTGAAAATAGTTTTCAATGAATTTAATAATCTTATTTTCGTTTCATCTTTTAATGTGGCTACAGATGAAGGAGAAGAAATGGATGCTTCCTCTCACATTCCCTTGGATGATGGCATGCCAATGGATTTTGGTGCTATTGAGGTTATTCAGTGCCTAATAGAACATCACAATCCCATTTTTACAGATACAAATGAGACTGTTTGGAGATAATCCAGATCAAAGGCTGTATAGAAGACATCAAGTGCGTATTGTAACCAATTATCCCTTGAGATTTGAGTTTTAAATTTGGTTAAGTGACTGTTATGCTGTGCTACCAGGTATCATATCGGTAGCCAGCTCTGGAGAAGCACTTTTGTGTCTGTACATTCTAGTCATTAGGTAGATCTTTTCTCAATGGTTTTTGTGTTTGGAGAGATATCGGTTTGCAATATGCTGCATATTTTGATGAAGGGATGAAATAAGATGCATAGCCGACAATCCAACCGCACATAATTGATTTTCTGGTTTGCTTGCAAAACTTAGCTCCTGATTCTCTGTTTTCTGGCTTTTCAGTTTTGAATGGATTATGAGGTAAACATATCTAGTGGATTTTACCAAAATTATACAGAGTTTTCAAAAGGTGTCTCATGATAGTAGATATGGCTGACTCTAGTCGATACCGAGTCAAATTAAGTGAGCTTTTATCTGAGTTCAGATCTTGAATTTGAATGGACACAAATATGCAAACTCAGCTTCGAGCTTGTTGTCAACTTGAGTTCGAGTCAGAGTCAGGCATCACCACCATTTCTTCCTCTGTTGAAAATTTGCATATTGCATTTTCACAAAGAAAAAAAACACTGTTGTTTCATTAATTGTCCTAAACAGAGAAATCCCATTTCGGAAATTCATCGTACAGGTTATAAATTAATGTACTGTTCAAACCGTCTGATCCATGTTTTCTCTTCGGAAGATTAAGAAGATGCCTTTTCAAGCTGGACCTAAGCTTGTTAACCCATCTGGGACGGCAATTTTTGCCGGTTCTCGGCAAAAGTCCCCTGAATCGAATGCTCCAGACTCTGGGGCCATCTTTGTTCACGTAGTTTATCAGCACTTCATCTTCCTCTGCAGTCCATGGCCCTTTCTTTGTGTAGGTTCCATGATTCCATCACTTTGCCTTTCTATTCCCAGATTTTCTCCATAAAATTCAAAAACCCAAGTCAGTAATCTTTACATAGAGCCATCTTCTCCATTTTCTTCGTATGAGTCCCTCTGAAAATAAAAACAGATTGGTGAATTTTTCAACCGGCGGTGAAGACAATCTATGCCGCCACTCTTCCAAGTTTCGGTTTTGACGGTTGGTGTGGTGGCACCCTGCTTCCAATAAACCCCGCCTCTTCCTCCAATATTTCAACATCTTTAAATAACGTGAACGCTCCTTCTTTTTCTCTCGGAATTACACAATACCCTAGTTGGCTCCACTCTTTGACTTGTCCTTGACCAAACATGGTGACTCTGCTGGAACCCAACCTCGTGGGAACTTAGCATGACCCAATGGCTACAAGCCCACACCTTTGTTTGTGGTTCGAGAGCAGAATGCCAGAATCTCGAACAAAGCAGCACAGAACAGCTTCTATGGCTACTAGGAATGTGTGCGTCACATTTTTCCTCATCCGTTTCCATGGTAATTCTTGAAATTTCATTTTTTTTTAAAATGATTTTCTTGATTTATTTAGCCAAAGTTGAAATCTTTTTATTTTGTTTTCCTGCACAAAAACTGAGATGTTGATTTGGAGGTGTTGGGAGACGATGGGGTGGTGGGGAATTTGGCGAAGTATCCGGTGGTGGTGATAAGGTGGCCATTTGTTCAGGCTGTAAGAGCGGCTTGGGGGCAGTGGATAAAGGGTTTTCTGCTATTGATGAGGTGGTGGAGGGTTGTTATGCTTGTGAGTAAACAGAGGTGTGATGGTACAGCTTGGTAGCATAATCCTTCAATGCAATTGTTTTTTCTTTACATTTTTGGATGAATGGATTCTCCTATTATCCATTTTTGTTTGAATTGTTAAGGGTATTGGTTTCATTGGTTCTTCAATTTTAGGACTTTTGAACACATTGTTTGGTGGAATGGTCAGATTGTATTAGATGGCAAGTCAAACTCAAATGCTAGTATAATTAGATGTAGAGATTTTCATCCAAGATGATGGATGTCAATGCACGAGGAAGCAAGTAGATGACACATGGTGCCTTTGCAGCCTAGTAATACTCAGGTCAACTTAAGAGACAAAGACGGTCAATCTCTCCTTGGAAAGATTCCAACAACTTGCACGTTCATGCTTGAATTTTATGGTTAAATATTATGGTTCATTTAATCTTCCTGCATTGACCTGGAAAAAAATAAGATCAATAACTCTCCCTCTTAATTTTGTCCTGCTTCCACTTGATTAGACAAATACTGTAATAGCCCCATTATATATTTCAATATAATTTTTTAATTATCTAATGTTGAGTTATTTAATAAGAATATTCTCAAACTTCAGCCTATAACTTGTGTGCTAAACTTCAGCCTATAACTTGTGTGGTTATCGTGCGAGAGCCTCTCGCACTCCACCGTAGTTCAACTCCCTTGCATTCCCA